GAACTTCATGATCGAGTTGTTTTTAAATTCTATAAAAAGCAAACGAAGTCCAAAAATCATGAAACGTGTCAAGATTCTTGGTTTGCAAGCATCGTGCGTGATAACTTGCGCGAAACCTTCTCAAATTTTTATCACAGCCTCCACATATGATATCATGCCATCTTGACAAGTTTCATGATTTTCGGACTTCGTTTGCTTTTTATAGAATTTAAAAACAACTCGACCGCGAGTTCGTGGTCATGTTTCGTGAATAAGATATTCAAAATTGGTGGTCTAGTCCTAGATACGGCCTCACATTATACTAAATAACATGAATATCATTTTCCCATTCATTTTTTTCATTATTCGAATGAATAGTAGTTATAATTTGAATTATCCAAGAAAATTCAATTAAATGAAATAAATTAAAGAAATATAGAAAAAGTCCGAGAAATGTGCCACATTGGAACATGGAGCACCAGGTATTGTACGAGGGCTGTAGAAAAAGTTTGGAGGTCAAAAGTGAAAAAATATATGGTTTGCCGAGTGTCATAAAATGACATTCGGCAAATCACCGCTTTGCCGAGTGTCAAAAAAAATGACACTCGGCAAATGACCACTTTGCCGAGTGTTAGAAGAAGACACTCGGCAAAAGGGTTAACGGCGGCTGCCGGCCGTTAACGGTGGGGGTCCTTTGCCGAGTGTTAGGAGAATAACACTCGGCAAAGCCAGTTTTGCCGAGTGCTCGGCACTCGGCAAACCACCTCTTTGCCGAGTGTCAGTTGTTTGCCGAGTGCTTTATCTCTGGCACTCGGTAAACAGCCTCTTTGCCGAGTGCCCGATAAAAAACACTCGGCAAAGTGTGGGACACTCGGCAAAGAAGCCTTCTCCGGTAGTGAATGTATGAAGGATAAATAAGAGCAACATAATTACAATATTTTTTTACAAAACCATCGATATAATGATTATATTATATATTAGAAAAAAAATATTGCACATATATATTAGGAATAGACCCCCAATTTTCACTCGCCCCAGACCACCATAATGCCAGGGCCGACCCTGATTCTATGAAGCACATTTCATCAGACATCAAGTTCTGTGATCAAGGAACAATTCTACTAATCCCAAACAGCCTAACAAGCTTCAATTTACAAGATCAAGTGATTAATCAATAACGCGCACGAGCTGGGCAGGATTGCGCTCGTCGACCAACGGTCATCGTACGTTTGCCGAATCCCACGGAGGCTGCGCTCTCCGGCAGCGGCGGCGGCGCACGACACCACCTACCGAACGACCGCGATGGCCGGAACAGCTGCTTCCTCAGGCGGCTTGCAACGAGATGCCCGCTGCCGCCATGGCCTCTCCGGTGGCCTGGAATGAACGGATCTCTTGAGCGAGATTTTCCTGAACCGCGCGCACTGGATCCTCGCCTCGTGGTTGGAGACGGCAGCGCCTGCAGACAACGCTGCTGGAGAAGTCGCCTCGGCCTCGGGCAACGGGACTTCCCCGTCGTCTCACGAGACGACGCCGACCCCGTCTCCTCGTATCGGTGGGGTGCTTTTTGCAAAATATACATCGTAGAGACGGCTTCTGAAGACCCGTTGTACATGCCCTAGGCTTAGAATATGCCCAGTTTAAAGATCGTTCTCACCCTCTTTATAAGATTCATGGAGCCGTTCAGCAGTTACTGCAAGGAGGAGGCATTGTTTTTTCTGCACTGCAAGAAGAATTATGGTGAGGAAGAGGAAGAGAAATTATACACCTTTTGTTTTCTCCACGGACGGAATTCTGAGGGCATGCAACGGCAATGCCTATTCGGCTGCATGGTCTATTTTAATGCAAAGCTACAGCGTCGGTTCATTGGATGGCAGTTCGAGATTTGGCAATAATGTTGCCTGTTTCTGTTACTTGGCACACGGCCAATGCATTCTTGACGTAGGAAGGTGAAGGGACTACCGACTACGCATGGATGAACGGATGTGGCTTGGAGTTAATGATGACGTGGATGCACCAAAGAAGAGAGAAATCAGAGTTAATGATGTGGGACCTCTGGATGACGTGGCTTCACGAAATCGTAGAGAAATATGTTAGTGGGATTTTGTTTTATAAGAGTATAAGATTCCTTCATGATCAGCACAAGAAGAATGAAGCATAGACTCAAAGAGCACCATGTTCTTAATTATATATGCTTCACTTGAGAGATCATCTAGTTCTTCGTCATAAACTGGTGGGATGCAATAGCACCATCGCTTGAACGTACTATACGAATCAACAATTCCATGACCACACTGATTGCAACAATCATAATAAAAAAAGTTCTCTCTTTGATGCGGACTATCAACATCATGACTAACAACTTGGAAAGGAGTAGCATAAAAAAGAGCAGGATCATGACGAGCAACAAGGTGACCACAAAAATCACGGGTGGTAGCATCATGACAACCAACCTTTTGATGAAGTCCTTCGTGATCTTCTTGTTCTTCATCATATATTGATGGAACACAGTAACACCACTTCTTGAACATACCATATGAATCAGTAACTCCAAGACTGCATTGCTTGCAGCAATCATAACCAAAAGGGCTCTCCATCTCTTGATGAAGTGCTTCACGACCAGTAGCTTCAAGACACCACATGTGTTCTTCAATTTGATTAAGTCCCAGGCCTTCGAGGATCACATCATGGTGATCATGCTCTTGGTTGACATTGTCGCTGCCGAGTTCGCTCGATGACATTGACGACCAGCCATAACCTTAAGCTCTGATTATCAAATGATAAGGATCGACTCGCAGAAGGGTACATGGAGCTGAATTGGATAAAACTAGAATCACTCGGAGATCACTCAACAAGATCAACTAGCACCGGAGATTACTCTACAGGTTTTTCAAAGAAGAGCCATGCTCAATTCTCATATCATATCAATATCAACTCTATTCAAATGATGGATTACATGGTTTATTTATACTAGGAACATCCCTCCTAGTTGGGTGTGAACATAGCATAAACAAAAGCAAGTGAAAAGTCTTCTTAGTGGAGTATTTGAGGAGTCTTCATTCATTCTCGCGCAGCCACCAACAGCCTGTTCAGTCTCCACCAAAACGGCCATAACTCCTGGCTCGGAAGTCCAAAAGATGCACCGTTTGTTGTGTTGAAATCTAGAATCATATATCTTTCCAACCATGTAGCATATGAATGCTGAAACCATAAATATTAATACCAGCAAGCCACGAAAATGGTAATTCTGCATGGTTCTCATGGCCTTATCAGAGGAAGGGAGCTGCGGCCGCCCCGGCCTCGCACGGGCCCTCCCGCTGCGCCGCCACATCCATAGTGACAGAGAGAGGAGAGAGGAAGGGATTTTTTTAGCGACGGATGGAGAGATGGGTGGAGAAGAAGATATTTTTGCTGCTGTTGACCATCGGGAGAGGAACACGTGGAGCAACAGTGAATGAACGGTGAGAGGAAATCTAGACGGCAAAACTAAGATCAGATGACGCAAAATTTTTTTACTGTCGTGGCTACGCCGAGCCTCGCTGCCTTAATAAGAAGAAATTATTTGTAATGAAGCTAGAAACACCACAACACCTATGTAAAGACTGTACCTTCACAAAGGAGACTTGGACAATAGTACAGAACAGTTGTGATATCCCCCATAGTTGGAATATAGACCAACGTGGATCACTTTATAACTACCGGCGGAGATGCTGAGCATCCTTTGAACAGCTTCGAAAGAAGGTTTTTGATGGAATTATCATCTATTTCTGGTGGAATTTCGATTGAGCCGGTTTTTCTTTCGGTTGGGAGTTGTTAGTGGTTTCCTTTCTTGCTTTGGTGTTTCATTTGACCCCGACTGAATTTGCTTTTCTCTCTCTCTTTGCTGAGTTGTGCTTGTAACACCTATATTTGCTTTTTACCTGCCTAATAAAAATTACGATAAAACTCTTGCCATCCTTTAACAAAGCCATCTATAGTGTGGATGTGACAACGCCAAAAGCTCTGTGGCGCGATGCTATTTATCACACATACTCCCTCCGGCCCATTTTATCTGGTGCACACGAATATAAAGATTCAAATTTTGAAAACTTTGACCAATAATTAGGCTAATAATTTTTAACTATTATAATACAAAACTTTATATGATTAGATTTATAAGGAATTATACTATCCAATGATTATAAGTTTATAAGCATAAATAATATAATATAAAGCAAATGAATGGTCAAAGTGTAATTTAGGAGACCGTACCATTTTAAATTGCGTCGGATAAAATGGACCGGAGGAAATAATAATAATCCTTTCTTTCATCGCAAAGCAAATTCCATTTATGGGTACCAAAGTATTGCTTGCTCCTATATTATAGAAGATCAGTTGCATGCACAAATTATTGGCGAATTGAAGATTGCACCCATCTCGCCTCAACAGCCCTCCCCCAGCGTGGTCTCCCTCTCCCTCGCTGCGGGAAGCCAATGTGAGAGAGAAAGAACATTCCATTCATTGACAGTATGTAGGTACATGAGCCGAATCACGTACTGATGGTCAAGCAATCCTAACCGATGCCTACAAGCCAGGTTCGGGATCAGCTGAAGAATAGCCGCCGTTTGACACTTTTGAGCTGATCCTATGCTATCTATCTGATGCCGTGCCGGTAGAATAGGCCGCTGACAGCCAAGCGCACCAGCAATGGCCAATGGAGAGGTTAACAAGATTTGCAAAGCTGAAAAAGAGGAGCACGTACCACTCGTGGGGTTAAAACCCCGAGAACGCCGCCTGCCTCCTCGGATCGATCGACCCCAGCGGCGGCGGCGGCGGCGGCGGCCGAGGCGCCAGCGCCGGGTCTCGCGGTGACTGACTTGGCGTGGAGGAACTGGGAAAGCAGCTTGGTTTTCGGGAAGGCGCTGTGATTTGGCCTGAAAAGGAGGAATCTTTCCTTCCTCTTCGCCTTCCTTTGCCGGCTCTTATATCATCGCCCTCATCAGATTGGCGGCCTGTGGTTGCTGCTTCTTTGGCATTTGGCGAAGATGAGGCTCTCCTCGTCGTTCGGCAGCGTCCTTCCGGCTCTGCCGGGCTCGCCGGAAGGTAATCTTCTTCGCCTGCTCTGCTGTCTGCGCCGACTTGAGTTCTCGCTGGTGTCTTGTTCATTAATTAATAATGCTCTTTCCGTTCGTTGTTTCCTCTTCCGTATTAGTTTCAGACTGCTATTTGGTTTCTGTTTGTTCCTAATATAAATGCCTCGCTTTAAAGTTTAAACCTGCTCGGTGGCCGTGTGTGTGTGATCCTGCAGCAGCGACCCAGTGCGACGTGTTTGATTATTTGGGTGGGTTATCTGAATTTGTTTTGATTATTTCTTTTGAAGCCGTGTTACTGTCACGAACTGGAACCGTTTTTTCTTTTGAAGCCTGTCTGTTGATTTCCCGAGTGGTTGGTTGTTTTTTTCAATTAAGATGTAAAAAAATAGTTCCCTTGCAGTTCCAGTTTAAGGACACCTAGAAGTTAATAGCCCTTCTTGATTCTCAATTTTATCCACTTATTAGAATTTATATTTTGTACCATCCACTTTCTGAAACTTTTTTTGTTGTTGGCATAAGCACAATGCACATGTCACCAGTTGATATTTCGTTGCTGACGAAACTTGCAGTATTGAAACTTGTTCTCAAAACAAAACAAATACTTCTGCCATTACAGCTGTGGAGGAGCACAAGTGCCTGAACTCAGAGCTGTGGCATGCCTGTGCCGGCCCGCTTGTTTCCTTGCCCGCAGTGGGTAGCCCGGTTGTGTACTTCCCTCAGGGCCACAGCGAGCAGGTTAGTGCACAAGCTCACCATGCCCGTGAATCCTATATATGTCCTCTTTCAGTTTGGTTGTCAAACTCAAACCCCCAATTATCCTCTGCCAGTATTTTCAAGACTCGAAAAATTCTCCCTTTTTTACACTAGCTTTTGGTGAATTCCTGCTGCAGGTAGCAGCGTCCACAAACACGGAAATGGAGTCCCAGATCCCCAATTATCCTAATTTGCTGCCACAGCTTATATGCCAACTGCATAATGTGACGATATATGCATGTAAGTTTGGAGCCTTGGAACACTTTCTACTTAAGCTGAGTAAGTTTAGTTTTGTGTTTCATTATCAGTGTAATTCCCTTCTTTCAGGCTGATGCAGAGACAGATGAGGTATATGCACAGATGACATTGCAACCACTCAACCCGGTAAATTATATCTTTTTCTGCCTATTTGTGTCATATAACATGCAAACTCCTCTTGGTATCTATGAAGAGTAATTTTTGGCTTGTTTTTTATGCAGCAAGAACTGAAGGACCTATATTTACATGCAGAATTAGGTTCGGCCAATAAACAGCCAACAAACTATTTCTGCAAAACATTAACAGCAAGTGACACAAGAAACATTAGTTGTGGGTTCTCTGTTCCCTGTCGAGCAGCTAGGAAAGTGTTTCCTCCACTGGTATGTGCAACTTCTCTCAAGTTCCAAGTTCATTATTTGTGTTGATTTTGTTGCAGAAAGTGAACTTCTCTCGAGTTTCAAGTTCATTATTTATTTATGTTTCCTCCACATATTGATCTAATTTGCCAAATACTGTGTAGGATTTCACCCAGCAACCTCCATGCCAGGAGTTGATGGCAAAAGATCTTCATGGCAATGACAATGAGTGGAAATTCCGTCACATCTTTCGTGGTAAGCAGTTTTTCATTTTTTTCCTTTTAACTCTGCTTGCTGTGCCTTCAATGGTTAGGGCTATTGCATAACCTTCTAAATACCATCCTTAATGCAGGTCAGCCAAAGCGGCATCTTCTAACTACAGGTTTGTCTTTGTAAGTGCAAAGAGACTCGTTGCTGGTGACTCTGTCCTTTTTATCTGGTATGTTCGTACTTCCGGCATTCCAAACAATCACTTATCCTCTCTTTTTTTTTGTCTCCTTCCCATCAGATAGTTTCTTTTTGGTTGATTTTATGTCTCATTGCCTTGTCAGGAATGACAATAACCAGCTTCTGCTGGGAATTCGTTGGGCAAATCGGCCACAAACTGTCATGCCGTCTTCTGTCTTATGCATGCATACCGGTCTTCTTGCTGCAGCTGCTCATGCTGCTTCGACAAATAGCTGGTTTACAATTTTCTACAACCCAAGGTAGAACCTCTGTAATCACTTATTTTTTGGGCGTTTCCTGTCAAACGTTTTAACATTTGCTTTTGCAGGGCAAGCCCTTCAGAGTTTGTCATACCGCTTGCAAAGTATGTTAAGGACTTAAGGCTGTGTATCATACCCCCATATCTGTGGGGATGCGCTTCTGGATGCTTTTTGAGACAGAAGAGTCTAGCGTTAGGAGGCAAGTTCAAATCTGTTTGCAAGTTCACCTTATAAGTTTTACCTCTTAGTTCATTTGCCATTTCATTTTCTCTTTCCCTATCAGTTTCCTACACATTGCCTTTGTCTAGTTTTGATGATTACTGCATTCGCCAACAAGATCTATGGCATAGGCCACATGTCAATATACCTCTTTCCTTACAATGAATACTGAATTACCATATATGCAGTCATAGGTGGTATTAGCAGTCTAACCAGATCAAATACATTCAATTCCAGATACATGGGGACAATTACGGGAATCGGTGATCTTGATTCTGTTCGGTGGCCAAATTCACACTGGCGTTCTGTTAAGGTATATTTTTGACCTGTGCTTCTCTTGTTGCCTCTGCCTACTACAAGCCCTTGTCAACCATTTGAGTTGCAAACTTCAGTTGAAAAACGATACTACTCCAGTACTCCCTTAAAGTTTGTTCTCTCAGAGATACCTACTTTATGGTTTTGTATGATCACGAAATTTACCTGTGAATGAATATAGGTTGTCTGGGATGACTCAACTGCTGGTGAGAGACAGCCAAGGGTGTCACAATGGGAGATTGAGCCCCTGACAACTTTCCCAATGTATCCATCTCCTTCTCCGCTCAGGCTCAAGCGTCTACGGCCTGCATGGTATGAGGTGCAGTTATGTTTAGCTAGCCTTTGTAAATATGTTAGCTTATTTTATAATTTTGCAATTTTGCAAATGCATGCATTCTATCGCCAATAACCTTTCATGTGATGTCTATCCGTAGGTGGGAAGGATGATGACCTGGCTCACTCTCTCTTGTGGCTTCGAGATACCGCAAACCCTGGTCTTCAGTCGTTAAATTTTGGTGGATTTGGTATGAACCCTTGGATGCAGCCAAGGCTGGATGCTTCATTACTTGGTCTGCAACCTGACTTGTATCAGGCGATGGCCACAGCTGCTTTTCAGGATCCAACAAAGCAGGCATTACCCACAATGCTGCAGTTCCAGCAGCAACAGAACATAGTTGGTCGGGCCACGCCACTTCTTTCAAGTCAGATTCGGGGTCAATCTGAGTTCCTCAAACAGCAGATCCAACGCAGCCAGTCATTCAATGAGCAGAAGCCCCAGCTGCAACCTCAGCAACAACAACAAGAATCACAGCAGCCGCAGCAATCACAGTGTCTGCAAGTTCATCAACATCAACAAATGCAACAACAGAACATGACCAACTACCAGTCTGTATCTAATGCATTATCAGCGTTTTCTCAGCTGTCGTCAGCCTCTCAGTCTTCACCTATGGCACTGCAAACTATATTACCATTCTCACAGGCACAGAGATTTACAGACACAAATGTAAGCTCATTGTGCTCTTCACGGTTGCCTCTGGACAGCATAACGGAGGATGCGCCATGGACTTCAAGAGGAAAAAGCTTGCGCCTCGTGTGATCAGGTGGATGAGACAACCGACCACCTGCTCGCCGAGGGTGTTAGCCTAGTGCTGAACCTCAATGTATCCGGTTACCTACTATAGCTATTTACTATTCACTGTCATGTAGTTTTCAGGTTCCATGGCAACCAAGTTGATCATGGTGCCTTGGCAACCAAGTAGGAATCATAGCATCTGCTTTATGCAGTAATATGCTAAGAAGTAGGTACACCACTTGCCTATATAAGCAGTGGCTTAAGCATTATCTTGTATCCCAAGTTTTTGCAATTCAATACAACCAAGCGGCCTATGGCCAAGATGTCCTCGGACAGCCAAATTCCTATTGTGTTCTTGTTTACCTGGGCAACAATTGCTATCTACAGCCGGGTTAGGAGAGAGTAGAGGCCATGTCCACCTCCAGCCGCTGTCGTAGCCGCCAACGCTGGTGGAGGAGCGGTGGTCAATCCTGGCGCCGATCGGGCTCAGTGCTTGGCCGCGGCAGAGGCCGCAGGTGATCGAGGCGGCCAGGCAGGCAGCGGCAACAGCCCAGGTAGTGGCCAACACGGCCGCCGCACTACGCGCGGAGTTGGGGAGGCAGCCCAGGGAGCCGTCGCAGAGCCCAGTGCGCCGCCGGATCCCGTCACCATCGCCAGAGCGCCGTCGTGGACGTGGAGGCCGTCGCGGGTCACCTGTGGCCGTCCAGACGGTGTACAAGGACTCTGGCACGGGGACACCACGGCCGATGCTCACCAAGACCAATTACCACGAGTGGAGCCTGCTCATGAAGGTGAAGATGCAGGCGCGCCAGCTCTGGGACGCCATCGATTATGGTGACCTTCCATACCATGACGACCGACATGCGCTCGAGGCCATCATCGCCGGGGTACCACTGGAGATGGGCGCACCGCTCACGGACAAGGTGACAGCCAAGGAGGTGTGGGACTCCATCGCCGCGGCACGCATCGGCGTCGACCGCGTCCGCCGCACCACGCTGTAGCGGCTGCGCAAGGAATGGGAGAACCTCGCCTTCCGTCCCGGTGAGCATATCGAGGATTTCACCCTCTGCCTCTCCGTGCTGAAGCAGCAGATGGCCCACCACGGCGACAAGGACCTCGACGAGGAGCAGGCAGTGGAGAAGCTTCTTCGTGAGGCACTAAAGAAGTACGCCCAGCTGAAGATCGTGATCGAGACCCTCCTCGACCTCCAGGACCTCACCATCGAGGAGGTCACTGGAAGGCTGAAGATGGTGGATGATCTCGAGGAAGAACCTCCATCCGAGCCCATCTCTGTTGGCAGGAAACTGATGTACACTGAGGAGCAATGGCTCGCTCCGCAGAAGGAGAAGAAGAAGGGAGGAGACGGCTCTGGCTCATCCAGCTCGACCAAGGACCACCGTTAGCGACCTCGCGGCGGTAGAAAGCAGAGGCCCAAAGGAGAGCGTGGTGATCATGGCGGCGGCAGGCAAGGAGAGAAGGCTGGTGGCACCAGCGGCGAATGCAAGGCGAACCGCGATGACACTTGCCTCAACTGCCGCCACGCCGGCCACTAGTTCTCAGCCCTCAGCCCCGATGCGAGTGTGGTGGCGCATCGCATCTCGCTGAGGCAGATGATGACAAGGCGGCTCTGTTTCTCGCTCACGGCTTCCTAGAGCTAGAAACAGAGGAGGACATCCTCTGCTCCAAGGCCGGCCTCAACATCAACAAACCCTAGGCTCGTGCGTTCCTCAATACCGGCTCCGACGAGCACAAGATGGATGGCTAGTACCTCGATAGCTGCGCTACCCATCACATGACCGGCCGTCACGAGCTCTTCTGCGACCTTGACACCTCTGTTCGTGACTCGGTGTGGTTCGGCGATGCGTCAAGGGCGGAGATTCAAGGCATCGGCTCGATCATGTTCCAAGCCAAGACCGATGAGCACCGAGTCCTGCACAGCATCTACTTCATCCCAGTGCTGCGCAATTCCATCATGAGCCTCGGCCAGCTCGATGATGGTGGGTCCAAGGTGGAGATCGACAAGGGCTTTCTTCACATCTGGGATCACCGTGGGTGCCTCCTCATCAAGGTGAACCATGGGCCCAACCACCTCTATGTTCTCCATCTTGAGGCCGCGAAGCCACTCTCCCTCGCCGCGAGGAAGGACGACGACGAATGGCGTAGGCACGAGCGGTTCGGCCACTTGGACTTCGAGGTGCTGCACCAACTCGGCAAGCAGGCTATGGTGCATGGTATGCTGATGATCAAGCACGCCGAGCAAGTCTGGGACACCTACGTCACGATGAAGCAGTGCCGATGCCCCTTCCCTCAGTAGGCCCAATACGCGCGCAGGAGCAGTTGGAGCTCATCCACGGCAACCTTTGCGGGCATGTGATGCCGCCAACTCTAGGAGGGCGGCGCTACTTCCTCCTGATGGTGGACGACGCGTCCCGATTCATGTGGGCCGTCCTGCTACCATCCAAGGATGCTGCTGCGGACGCTGTCAAGAAGGTCCAGGCCACGACGGAGAAGGAGAGTGGCCGTAAGCTCTGGGTGCTACTCACCAACAATGGTGGCGAGTTCTCCATCGCAGAGTTCGCCGACTACTGTGTGGGAGAGGGCATCCAGTGCCACTTCTCAGTGCCTCACTCGCCGTAGCAGAACGGCATAGTGGAACGCCGAAACCAGACTGTGGTGCCCATGGCTCGGGCGCTGCTGAAGCAAAGGAGGTGCTGGCCAAGTTCTGGGGGGAGGCGGTGATGACGACAGTCCATCTGCTCAATCACTCACCGACACGGAGCTTGCAGGGCAAGACCCCCTACGAGGCCTGCCACGGGTGCATGCCGACGGTCTTCATCGGGTACGTGGAGGGAGCCAAGGCGTACCGCATCCTAGACCCTACGACGCAGCGTGTCAGGATCAGCTGCGACGTCATCTTCGATGAGAGGCGTGGCTAGGATTGGTCCACCCCGGATGTTGGTAGCTCAGCCGTAGCGGCAAGCGACTTCATCATCAAATTCTGGGAGATTGGAAGAGCCAGGGGAGCACAAGGTGCTTCTCTAGTGGCGGCCAGAGCTACATCGCCGGCGCCATCACACTCTGCACCACGCTCACCGTCACTAGATTCGGAGGAGCCTCGAGGGACATCGGTAGTAGCGGTCGCTCCTCCAGCACCCTAGCCAGCCTCGCTAATGCCACCGCCAGCATCCCTTGTTGTCCCTACTACTCCACCGGCATCACCAGTGGCGATAGCTGTGGCTGGAGACCAAGTGGAGTTTGCCACTCCACTGGTGGACGATGAAGACAGACTCGACGCCTACTACGACGATGAGCCACTGTGGTACCGTACGATGATGAACATCATCGGCGACCATCCTCCGCCTCCACCACCTCAACACCTCTTCGCTGAGCTTCACCTCACACACGCCGGCGAGCCTGCCAACTATGCCAAGGCCAAGGATGATCTGACATGGCGGGCGGCAATGGAGCAAGAGCTCAAGGCGGTGGAGCAGAACTGGACTTGGGAGCTAGTGCCGCTCCCTACTAGTCACTGGCCTATCACCCTGAAATGGGTGTTCAAGCTCAAGAAGGACGAGCTAGGCGCAGTGATCAAGCACAAGGCAAGACTGGTGGCGCATGGCTTCGTCCAGCTGGAGGGGGTGGACTATGATGACGCGTTCGCTCCGGTGGCACACATGGAATCCGTTAGGGTCCTCCTCACGCTGGCGGCTCAAGAGGGCTGGCGCATCCATCACATGGATGTCAAATCAGCTTTCCTCAATGGCGACCTCAAGGAGGAGGTATACGTGCAACAGCTGCCCCGCTTCACCATCATCGGAGAAGAGGGGAAAGTCTACCGCCTCTGTGAGGCCCTCTACGGTCTATGGCAGGCTCCGTGCGCTGTGAACACCAAGCTGGACGCCACGCTTAAGGACATGGGCTTCCAGCAGAGCGCTCATGAGGCGGCGATGTACCGGCGGTGCAGCGGACGCTCTGTCCTACTCGTCGGCGTCTACGTCGATGACCTGATCATCATCGGCGTGGAGGATTGAGAAGTGGAGGCGTTCAAGGCACATATGAAGAAGATCTTCGACATGAGTGACCTCGACTTCCTTAGCTTCTACCTTGGCATTGAGGTGCATCAAGATGCTAATGGCATCACCCTCCGTCAGACACACTATGCCAAGTGGATCCTGGAGCTCGGCGGAATGGCTGGCTACAACCCTGCTCACACTCCAATGGAGGAGTGGCTGAGGCTTGGCAGACACAACATGGCGGCGGAGGTCGACCCCACACACTACCGGCGCCTCATCGGCAGAATGCGCTACCTGGTGCACACTCGTCTCGATTTGGCGTTCGCTGTCGACTTCGTCAGCCGGAGCACCAACAAGCTGTCAAGCGCATTCTCCTCTATGTCACTGGCATGCTCGACTATGGTCTACACTTCACCAAGGTGTCCGGCTCCGCTCGCTTCATCGGCTACTGTGACAGCGACCTTGCCGGCGACATCGACACAAGCAAGAGCACGAGTGGAACACTCTTCTTCCTCGGCAATTGCTTGGTCAGCTGGCAATCAATCAAGCAGAAGGTGGTGGCGCTCTCTAGCTGCAAAGCAGAGTACATTGCCACCTCTACTGCTGCAACCCAGGCTCTGTGGCTCTCCAGGCTGCTAGCAGAGCTCCTCGGCAAACATGTCGAGGTGGTGGAGCTGAAGGTGGACAGCAAATCAGCGCTTGCTCTAGCCAAGAATCTAGTCTTCCATGAGAGGAGCAAGCACATAAGAATCAAGTACCACTTCATCCGCAGCTGCCTAGAAGATGGAAGCATCAAGGCCGATCACATCGCAACTACTGATCAGCTTGCAGACATTCTCACCAAATCTTTGGGCAGGGCCAAATTTGAAGAGATGAGGGGGAGAATTGGCTTGAAGCAGATGATCCCCAAGGCAGAGAAATGAGGGTGTTAGCCTAGTGCTGAACCTCAATGTATCCAGTTACCTACTATATCTATTTACTATTCACTGTCATGTAGTTTTTAGGTTCTTT